AGCATAAGAGTGTCTCCTGAAAAAATTCAGGAATATCTTTAGAAACCAAAAAAGTTGCAATCATTTTTGCTTCTAGCCTACCTACCAACATCCCTTTCTACTTGTAATAAAGATTGTGTAACAGATTGTGGTATCAGGAAAAAGTGGAGACAACAAAAAACTTCAAACACCTCAAGTAGCAAATCCAGAATCAAAGACTCCAAGAGTACCTGGCATTAGAACAATTCAGTTCTCAGCTGTCCCACACACAGGCCCTTCAAAGAGTCAGGAACATTAGCAACTTGTGCACTGTAGTAGAAATTTCTTGATGCTACAGAGCCATTTCATCACTCTGCTCTTTGTATTTGAGCTACTGTCCTGTTCCCAAAGGGAATTTTTGAGACAAAGGCACTGTGACAGGACTAGTCAAAAAAACCAAACTAAAAACAAAAGCAACAGATATCCTTTTGAAAGGATAGATTGCAATTTGATTTGCTACACTTTAAAGATAATATTTAAAATAATGTTTAAAAATAAATATTTTTGCTGAAAGGCTGACTTAAATAAGCATGGCTACATTCAGACTTATTCAGCAATTTCACATAACTTGCTAACATCTAATTTGAAAATGTCTAAAAGAACCCCATCTCTTTTGCCTTTATCAGGCTTTGCCCTCAACTGAAGTTGCTGAATATTCTGAGTATATTCCAACAAATAAGATTTACACCCCCCTGAGTATTTCATTTCAAATTGATCTTTCTCAAATGAACTCCAGGCATCACAAAAGCAGAGTGAACTGGCTGCATAAATATTCAAGTCCAGTTCCTTGCACCACTGGCCACCCCCTAATAAGTAATACATGTAACAGAGAATTTCCTTATTTTCAGATGATCTCACAAACCCACCACAGAACAAACTCCTACTAATCAAAAATTGTTCCATGTGAGGAAGAGGCAGAGCATTCAAAACTTTTGAAAGGTATATAAGTGACTTTCTTTCAACCAGCAGTCAGTGCCCAGACAATATTCCAGATGGAACTGTGTAATTTCTTTTAAGAATGACATGATGTAAGGACACATGCATCTGCAGATATGGATAAAACAAAGAAATTGCTAAATGAAACTAAATATGAACTAAAGTATAACGGATTTCCCCAGTTTTTATTGTGAAATGGGAAGAAACAAATAAAGGAACTAACAAAGTGAATAGGTCAAATAATTAATATGGTCTTATTTTATAATTAGAAAACTCAAGTTACACCAGTTAAAAACATGTATTTCTGAAATGGTGTGCAGTAGCAAATATGGAAATTATATATTTGGATACCTTTTGCAATCTCCAGAAGAAAGTACTTCACGCTGAAACATCCAGACCCACTTCCTTCTGATTTCAGTGTGTTGTCCTCAGTTAAAACTCTGGCATGTGTCACAATGTACACAACACCAGCTGCTTCCACCTTTCAAATGCATCTCCACGCAACCCCACGTACAAGTGAACTGGGCTTTTGTCCTGCAATTACCCCATTTTAAAATAATGATTATACCCTTTAGCTTACCAACAGCAATTAAGCCTGTCTGGATGAGCAAAACTACCACATTCTGCAGTCTCAACCTCAGTGAGAATTCCCTGTCAAAACATATTTCTTTGCCCATTAACCAGCAGGTTTTAACCATGTCTTCCAACAGCCCTCAAGTAAGGTCCTAGGGTAAAGTCCCTAACGTTTCTTAATTTTTCAAACTCAAAGCATGCTTTAGGTATTGGCAAAGGCTCTTCATATTTAAAAAGTTCACCACACACCAAAGATAAACAAGATAAAACAAAGAACACTCCTGAAAAAATAACAACACTAAACAAGAAAAATAAGCTTAGATGCAATGCTTATCCCAGCGTTATATCTGACTTGCTCTTTTCTTCCTTCACACAGAAGGGCAAGTACTTGAGCAAACATTCTTTGTTTAGTATGTCCTCTCGAGTTCCTGAAGTTTGCTTCAATATATTGAATAATGTTCTATCTTTTAGTGACCTGCAAGCCACCAAATACAATTCATTATAGCACAGATTTTCTTAAGAGATGATTCACACTAGCCCTGCCCATGTTACTCCAGTGCTGAATGCAATTCATGTAGTCAACAAATAATTATGCAAAAGCACATTATAGCACTACTTTACTGACACGCACAGTGTTACTAGAATAAATAGAGAGTATCTTGCAGCCCAACAGTGAGGAGCTTGTAATATACTGCCCATCCATATCCACCTTCCTACATAATCACTGATCTCTACATGTGCATGAGTAATAGCTTTATTTCTCACACAGATAGGTGTAAATTTGGAAAACTTTTTTTCTCCCTCTGCAACTATTCATAAAATAAAATTCACATGTCCAGAAAAATCTCTTTCAGATTAACTATGTCAAGACTTGGGAATTTAAAACTATTATGCTGAAGTAGCATCAACCAAGTGTTTAAGCCTTTTACCTAATAAACAATACTTCTTCCACAACATGTAGTGATTTAGAATAAGCCAATGCAAGTTGCAAGCATGGAAATTCTGGCAAGACAAAAGAAAAATAATTTACAGCAAGGGTGGTGAAATGCAGGATGCCTATCAAAGCTGCAAAATCTCCATCTTTGAAGAAATACAAAACTCACAGATGGCTCCCTGAGCAACCTGATATAACTTGGAAATTGTAGCCTCACTTTGAGCAGAAGTTTAAACAAGGTAATCTCCTAAATTACTGTTTAACTGTATGACAATCTAGGGGATGCCCATAGGCACACAGGAATTATACCCACACCAAATGTCTTACTATGTGCACGATGCTTTTTCATCTTACAGGAGAACAAGCCTGGACTCAGACATAAAATCTGTACCTGAGGTATGATAGACTGCACAGCTTGAAAAGGAAGACACCCATTAGTTAAGTTCACTGTCAATCTGAATAAACTCTCACTGTTACATAACTGCATTTTTGTGTCCTGTATTTGGTTTAGCTGAGGTGGAGTTAACTTTCCCCACAGGAGCCTCCACAGTGCTGTGCTTTGCACTGCTGGCTGGAAAGGTGTTGTTGATAACCCACCAATGTGCACTGGCACAGCATCAGCACCCTCTCTCCAACATCCTGCCCTCCCACACCAGCAGTAGGCTGAGGAAAGGCAAAATCTTGGAAGGGACATAGCCAGAACATCTGATGCCCACTGACCAAAGGGATATTCCAAACTACAAAAGGAATATTCCAAAGGGATATTCCAAGAATGTTTGGGATGTCTGCTGATATAAAAGCTAACAAAAGGAGGAGGAAGCAGAGGCATTCATTATTTACAGTGCTTGCCTTCTAGAGCAAACACTACATGGGCTGAAGCCCTGATTCTTGGGAAGTGTCTAGACATCACCTGATGGTAGAAAGTAGAGAATAAAACCTTTGTGCACATGCATGCAACATTTCACTTTTGCTTTAGTAAACTGCTTTATCTCAACCTATGGATTGTTTTCCGTCTTATTTTCTCTCCTCAGGCCAGCTGAGAAGATGAAGTGATGGAGTGGTTGGTGAGCACATGGTGTGTAGCCAAGGTCAATCCACCAGAGCCCCAAGAGCAAAACTCCAGCTATGGGAATAAGAGCAGAAGCACCTGACCACTGGTGACAACAAAGTCAATTAAAAAAAAAAAAAAAAAAAAAAGAAAGTTTCATTCATTGCATCACTTAAAAATGAACAGAAAGGAAAAAAAATATTTCTAAATTTTCATTCCAGTTATGAACTCACTTTGAATAATGAATGCCTGTTTTCTCTCAACTGATTGTGCTATTCACAGTGCTAGTAAGCAAACAACTCAGAGAAAATTCCTCCTGAACCCATACTATTTAACTCACTTCTAAATAATTTCCCAGTGAGGTAAGTGCAACCTAAATATTACAGCAGCAATGAGAGAAAAAAATAATCTGAATGTTCTTTCATAAGCAAATCCAAAACTATGAGAACTCAAACCAGTTTCTCAGACAGACTGCTAAGATCTTTTATTTCTCCATCTCAGAAAAAGAGGTAAAAAATATTATTAAAGCTAGCTAAACTTAATGCAAGAAACTATTTCCCATAACCTAATTTAAAATTTTAAACACATGTCAGAAGAGAAGAATATGTCCTCTATAAAACTTCTGCTGACTTTAAAAAAAAAAAAATCATCTGTATAAATTAGCACACATGAGCAGCAATTTCTCATGAATGTTAATACAACCAAACTAAATCCAATAAACATGATGGGAGAAAAAAAATTGCAAGCAACATAGTTACTGCTTATCTGGAAGAAAAGTACATTAGGATAAATAGGAATTTTATTTTCTCTTGGTGACACAGCAGCAGTACCACTTTCAAAGTCCCATCACCAGTGTCCAGTACAGTTTTAGTACTTCAATTGCTTTTTTAAATAAATATGAGGTTATTTCCAAAATACTGCCAAGAGTAGCTACTCTTCCATTTAAAGGATCCATCTACTGTTCATTTAACTGTAGGTGTCCCAAAACTATTCATGCTGCATCTTCTTCCCCACTGCTTCAAGTCCACTGTCTGAGTCTAGCAGTCCTCATGACATTGAACTTTATCATCATTACAAGCTCATGGAAGCAAGACGCATCTCTAATACTTATTTGTATGGTGCCTAGTACACACTTACAGGCTGGGAGAAATATGTTTTAATTACTGCACTACCAAACTGGGGAAAAGATTCCACCAGTTAACAACAAATAGCGTAAGCTGCTGATAGGAACTAAGAGCTGATGGACACATATGCTTTATGTAGGTGGGTGTTCACCATAAGAGAACATTAAGTGCAAGACAATCAAATAGCTACAAACTCTTATGAGGAAGTACATCAATATTAGAACTCCAACATCTCTTCTTAGAAAGTTTTAAAGTGTCTAAATCTAGATAATTAGCTGGCACAATGATGAAGAAAACAACTGACAGCCAATTCAGCTGAACATACAGGAAGATACAAGACTCTACATCTAAATTGAAATTTAAATACCTCTTTATTGCTTCTGGGAGATCTAAACTGAATGGAATTCGATAGGAGGATGTTAAAGTGTCATCCACAGCCTTGCTTATTTCCTGCAGCTCTCTTAAAGAAATGCAGCCAAGTAAAGCAGCCAATTCACAGTCCTGCGAATGAATAAGCCTGTCTTGCTCTTCAATTTCTCTTCTCAGCTGTTGATCTTTTCCTTCTAATATTTTCAGTCTTGTTTGGAGATCTTCAATTTCTTTCTGCATAGAACAGAAACCAAAATTTTCTATGAGCCCTATAAAAGAAACCCATTTTCCCCTAAGAAAAAACAGTACAAGTGTCATAAATAGCATTCATTATATTTGTCCAGTTTAGCAAACATTAAACGAGACATCCTCTTGCTGACACACAAAAATTCTTATGTCAGTTATAATCAGAAACTCTAGTGCTTCCAGCAGTCTGAATTCACCTCCATTTCAACACCACGCTTCACATTCCTCTTCCAACACCTACTGTCAGCCCTCTTTCACTTTCAGAATACCTAGGTATTTCCCAAGTTCACAAGCTAAAAACTTCCATCAAAAGCACAATTATCACATCACCCATGGCAACAGAATCTTGTTCTACAGACAGGCAGCTAAACCAATCAAACATCTATCCTGCAGACTGTCCCTGCAATGGTTGCTATAATGGTTCCAATCCCACAATGAAGCACATGATACAAGCAGAGAATCACTATCTACCCAGCTCTTCTGATAATTAACATTTCATTTTAACTAAAAGTACAAAATCCTTCCCTTGACTTAAAATGCACAGAACTTCAACCTCAGTTGCACTCATTTCTCTAGAAGTTCAAATTGTGTCCATTAAAATATTGATGTTTCCTGAAAGAGAAAAATACAATTTTTAGAATCATAGAACTGTAGAATCATTAATGCTGGAAAAGTGCTCCAAGATCGTTGTGTCCAAATTTTGACTGGAACAGAACTTTGTCAACTAAACCACAGCACTAAGTGCTATGTCAAGTCATTTCTTGACCATTTCCAGGGATGGTGACTCTACCACCTCCCTGGGCAGCCTGCTCCAAAGCTGGACACCCTTTCAGTGAAGAAATTCTTCTTCATGTTCAATCTTAGTCTCCCCTGGTACAGCTTGAGGCTGTTTCCTCTTGTCCTGTCACTTGTTACCTGGGAGAAGAGATCAACCTGGCTACAACCTCCTTTCAGGTAGAACATGATGAGGTCCTCCCCTGAGTCTCCTTTTCCCCAGACTAGACACTTGCAGCTCCCTCAGCTACTCCTCCATCAGACCTGTGCTCCAGACCCTTCACCAGCTTCACTGCCCTTCTCTGGATATGCTCAAGCATCTCTATGTCCTTCCTGAACTGATGACGCCAAAAAAAAAAAAAAGCTTCATGAATTTGTACATCATCCTTGCACAGGTTTTTCCTTGAAAACCCAACAGATAGCTTGCATCCAAGGAAACAGCACTTCTTGAAGGAATCTAGGTTGCTGAGTTAAAGTTGTCATCAAACTAGCCAAACGCCATACTGGAGAATTTGATTTTATGCCTACATTTCTTACTGTCTCTGTGAAACTCTGCAAGCCATTTAAACTATTATCTCCACACATGGCCACAGACTGTATGTTCATCATTTTCTATACAACCTTCAAGAGATCTCTGACATGCTATCTATAGGCTCTCAACAGAAATCAAAGCTCAATTTCAAACTCTGATCACATTCAGTCCAACTAAAAATTAAAAACAAAAATCCAGAAACCCAAAACCAAATCTTTAATGAGTAAATAACTAGGCATTACAAAACTGACGTTAGAAGCAACCATCTGGCTTTATATGGCAATTCACTTCTCCATTCTGCATCTGAGCAAATGGCAGTAACACCCAAAATGGTGTTACAGAGATAAAATTAAGTGGGTTTGAATCACTAAGATGCCATGTTGATTAATACTGTAAAAAGAGCCCACTCACAAATTAATCAATTTGTATTTAAAAGAAGGTTTGAGTGGCACACAGTAGAAGGGTTCTGGGGTCAAATACTGAGTAATGAAGATAAAATAGTATTCTGAATAACTAAGCAGACACTTCAGCTATGTAGGTAGGGATCTAGGGGGATAAAAAAGGCATACTTCAATATTACAGACTTATAAAACATATGTACTATGCACAGACAACAGACTTCAGCATTTTTTTGCTTTTTTCAAGCTTCACTTCATAACCTTAACATTATCATAATGTTTTCAATGCAATTTACATGAAGTTTAGTTCACTGATTATGCTAAAAAACATACTTTCAGGTTTGCTGCACTGTAACCAGCTTCTCAAATATCACTTAGAGCAAGAAGAAATGGCCCTTGCATATTCAAAGGTTGACTAGCTCCAAATTTTCAACTTATAGTAGTCCTGCACACTAGGTTCATCAGTTATTTTGGTCCTTCTTTGGTTTTAGATACAGCAAGAAGAGAATGATGTGGCCGATGTTTCAACCCACAGACATTTGTCAAGAACAGAAAGATCAGCAGACCAAAAACATCAGTTTTCTTTCTTTCAGTCTCAAATTAGGCTTTTAGTGTGCACAAAGGACAATTATGTCTCTGTATTACTGGCTTGGGAATACTGCCAAAACCTTAATAGGCCCTACTTAGTACAGAGACCTCCATATTCTGTGAACACGTAGTAATTGCAATCACTGCAATAAGCAACCTACACGGGAACAGCAAGGAGGATGAACGGAATCTGGTTTTACAATTACACTTTTAGTACTGAAATGTACAACATAAATAGATACCAGAAGCACACAATCTGCATTCACAGAAAGAAAGCTGCTCTGTTCAGCAATAGTTCACAGGCATTCTTGGGAACATGGAAATTTTAAGCAGTAAACTGGAATTCTCCCACATTCTTTTCCAGAAATGCAAAGAAGCCTTTAGCACGCTCTTGGTCAGCCTCCAGGGACAGATAAAAAGGACCTAATGTCTCAGCACGGAGCAGCAGATGATATTCATCTCACTAAACATAAGCTGGAGCTTTACTTTGCAGATTCGAGTTTAAACTTGGATTTCCAAAAGAACAGCTACTCAGTACGGATTATGTATCTCCAGCTTCACTTACGGACTGATGTCTGCATGACGTAGAGACTGCAGTAGAAACGTTAATACATAAATTACAGGTACTGCCACAGGTTTTCAAATCCCTGAAGACAAAGGCATAACCAACAGGAGAGAGGGCAGAAGAAAAAGTAAAGAAAAATGGGGCTGAAGAAATTTAAAAAAAAAAAAAAAAATTACTTCTGACCATGCAAGATTTTGGGCAGGAGCAATCTTTAGGGATTCCTGGGTGCAAACAATCACCACAGATCAGCCTTCCCCAGAACCCTAAATTCTTGGTAATTTTGATAAAATGCTAACAAATTGCATGCCTGTATAACGGTGCAGTTAATTTTTTCTGGTATAACTACAGAAAAATAAAGATTCATCTTGAGCAAGTGTAAAAAATAGCTGTAGTGGAGTCTTAAGTACAGCAGTTTTCAGCTCAATATCTTGAGGTGGCTCTTGGATGTCTAGATTTAAAAAAATTTCTGCATACTGATAATGCTGACACTATGTCTCCTCTTAACTGATGATGAAATAAACCTAAAAAATACAAAGATGATGAGTAGGATAAAAAAGACATTTCTTCACCTAAGTACAATTTTGCAATGACCACATAAGATGTTTTTCTCTATTTCTTTGCGGGTTTTTTATATATATCAATTTATGTGTGTACACAAAGATTACTATACTATTGGATCCAACAAAGGAATGAAAATATCACAAAAAAAAAAAGAATTCAAGACAAGATCACAGAAAAAAAGGAAAAGTAGGTCTACTTGCTCTCTAAGGTGCCACATTGCTGAGTGTGATCACCGAGGTTTAAAAGACACATAAGTAGACATCAACGTACATTGAGATTTTTGAAGGATGGTGAAAAGAAAGAGCTGAATTTTGCTTAAAAGGCTTACAGACTTAAAATTGGACTAATGCCATCCTGAAACATTCCATTTGCCAAACTATCACGTTGTGACATCATGTGTCATTGTAAAGCTATTGTTAGCAAATGCTGACTGCTCCGTGATGATTCCTTCATCCTTATGAAAAGCATCAATCATCTTTCAGGAATAAAAGCTGGTAAATCATGTATTTATAGTAAATTCTAACCAGAAACGGATGAAAACTTTTTGTCTTCAAATAAAAACTTCTGAAGATCAGTGTAATATTAAAACGTCAAATTATAACAAAGAGCACGCTTAAAAAGATAATGAGGAAAGTTTAAGCATGCACACAAGCCACCAAACCTTCCAGCTCTGCGTTTCTGTAATGAGATTAACACAACTCCTGTGGCTGCCATCTCCAATCATCACTTAGATTATCGACTGGACTCCAGCCAAGGCTCTAATTACTACACAGAAGCAAAGTCGCTATTACAATAAATTTATTTAATTCTGTGTGACAGCTTACAAGGCTTTCCCCACACAGCACTGGTTCTTATACACAACTCTGCAGTCCTGTTACCTGTAACCGCTTCTTTTCTTGAAAAAGCTGGTTTCGTTTTGTGGCTGAAACCTGCGTCCTCTCCTGGGAAGTTGATCTCAAAAGTCTGTGCTCTTTTTCATGACAAAGACCATTTTCTTCACGTCTAACCCTTTGAAAAAAAACACGACAAAAGCTAAAAATTAGTGGTTTTCATGAGTTTCAGTGTCTCAAGGATTAATCAGATCAGAATGCTACATGTTACCTTTAGAGTCATAACACTCCACCACCACCAGAATGAATACTTTTCAAACAGATACAGTTAGAGAACAAGAGATTTTTTTTCTCCTTGGCATATCTTCCTTTATTATCTCAAACATTTACACTGTTTTTACAACACGATGAAGAAAGAAAATGGAAAGTTTGTAAAGCTTCAGGCTTCCCCCAGCTTTATCATATTTCAGAAATTTATCCATCACTGCCTTGAAAGAGACAAAACTAAGGCATGTAGTTTCTATCAATACAGAGAAAAATGTCTTAGACAGAAGTTTAGAAACTTGCCAAAGCCATTTTTGCAGCTTCTGTCAGCTTTTGGAGACTACATTAGAGATCATCTGGTGTGTTTGCTCCACAATGCCAAATTTTACTTCTCTCTTGCACAGCGAGTTCTTTCAAAATCACAATCAGCGGGCTTCCTCCCAGTCATCTGTACAGCCCTCAGTTGTAAATCTTTGCATGACTGGACTCCAGCACATTATGTTAAATAACAATTCCATAATCAGCCTCTCAAAATGCACCTGCAAACAATGCAAATCCATTTTGCTTTCCATGTTCCCTCACAAAGGGCATGTACACTTGAGAAGGGCAATTGTGTTCTGTGTCCATCTCTGGAGACAAGTGCATGCATCTCCACATAAAGAGTACAGATGCATTTCAGTATCTTCTTTTAAAAATATTGTGTCTCAAACAAAGTGTTTTGAGGCATGATTTCCCACTGTCATCTCGCAAAGCAAATACATCAATGCCACATATAAAGCATGCATCGTGAGTCTGGTTTAAGCACGATTAATCACGCAATTATGATCTCCATGCACAGGTGTTTAACAAGTGCGTAGAACAAGAGGTTTTCATCTATTCTGCAGGACTATCAAAAGACACATGCTTTACTCCCTCCTGTGGGCTGCAGAATATGCTGAAAAGGCAAAATAAAGCCTCAGCACTAACACAGGTATCATGAAGCAAGACAGACATAACGACAGTGTAACTGCATTTCTGTATTAACAGCGTGCACCAAAGAGACATCCCCTATTATGAGATGCTAGGCCATCACTGTGCCTTACAATCATTACAGGTTCCTGTGGCTCTGACCAACTACACTTCCCAGCAGGTCTGAAGCCACCTTCTTCAAGCCAGAGCTGCATCGTTCCTAGAGAGATATGTAATAAATTTCCAAGTGGCTGATCAAAATTTAGAAATAATTCCACTATAAACATAGTTTATTTTCAGAACCTTCTTGAAAATTCCATGTGCATCTGTCTACTTGGTACTGCCGGAAGACAAACAAGATCTCTCTTATCTCACCAAATCTGAATGATTGCACAACCACAGCATTTCTTGTTCCTAAGCTAAAAATCACAAAATCTGGCTCCCCCCACATGCCCCCAATATCCTGTGTCAACATCAAATGCATTCACTTAAAAACTTACCTCATAATTTAATCAAGTAAAACAAAACTGGAGCATGAATTTCAGCTTCATATCTTAAATAAGCTGCCAAACACACTTTTCTTGCAAAAAGATGAGATTGACTAAACTATGGTAAAATTGCAGTAATCTGATGATAGTCTGATCATCTTTTTAATTTTCCAGGTGAAACAAAACCAAAAGTTTTCTTGGATATTCTGGTTTTGTTCCAATTCAAAATGAAAACAAAACAAAATAATTTCTTGAGGAAGCAGTTAGGCATTCCACTGTACCATCTAAAAACACTGCTGGAACAGAAAGGACTTAAACCCCTGTACAGAAGACAAAGGGTACACTTGCTGTATTAATGAGTCAGACCACAGACAAAGCAGTGTAAAAGGCTACAAGAATCAAGCAAGCAAATAAAAGGGTGTCACAACAATAGCAGTCGAACTTAAGCTCAAAGAAAGGAGTATGCACAAGACAGAAAAGGGAAGACAATATTCATCTGACCCTGAAGAATGGCACTGCTCAGACCTGTGCAAAGAGAAGAGTTACAGATCTAATCATCCAAAGAACAGGAACACTTTCATAAAAAAAGTGTGTTATAACATCTATTTTATATGTAAAAGCATTATATATACATTATACAGGATAAAAATAAGCAAACTGTATCTGAGGAATGCTTTAGTGACCCAATTTCCATGACAAAGAAGACGCTACCTCTAATGCCAAAATCATGATTACAAATTAATGCATAGACCAAACACATCTTAACAGCAAAATAGAGAATGGTGTATCTTCATCTTTAAGGCCTCTTAGAGCCTCAGAAGGTAGAAGGAAACAGCTCTGAAAGGAGCGCAGCTTCTTTTAAACCCCCCCTTTTACTAGATGCTATAAACAGAGGCTAAAATTACCTACAAATTCTCCAACTTCACAAAAAAAAAAAGTATTATCTAATTTTATCTGATTTTATCTAATTTTCATGTCTATCAAAAATTACACACAAAGGTATTGACTAGCACACTGCAGCCTTTATATTAACAAGCTGCCAGAAAACAAAAGGCTTCTCTTCTTTCATTTGTGCTATTGCATTTGAGAATAGCTTTCAATACCTATAAACTATCCTCTTCTAACAACAGTAACTAGGAGCACCGACAGACCAAGAAATAAAGACTATTTTTTTTTCCTAAGCTCTCCCTCTCTTGGGCCATCCAACACATCTCACATTCCTCTCATCTTTGAAGTTATCCCTTCAAGACAAGGTTTAGAACTTATTTTTGTGACTTTGTACAATGCTGAGCTCAATATTGCTGTCTAAGAAGTGGCACACAAAAGGAAGCTCCCAAAGATCTATTCCTATCAGATCTGGTTTTTACTTTATATTTAAATATCCTTTCATTGCCTGAAAGGGAGCATCAGAATTAACTCCGCAGGGAAGCGTTGCTCAAGCTGCGTTGCTGTTGTATGCTCAAGCTGCCGTGTCAAGGATTCAATCCCATTCCCACTCAACATCAATGAGAAATGTTCCATTTAATTTGCCAGTTCACCATGATCAATGTTTTTCAGGGGAATTCTGAAAGAATTGTAGAAAGAAAAAAATTGGGGGGGGGGGTGGGGAAGGGTGGAATTTTCATAAGCAAGGTTCATATGAACACATTAGATGGTCATTAAAATTCTTTATTATAATTATTCATAAGCTGTATTCTGCATTTTGAGAAAAAGAGAAGCATCATTTTACACAATAACAAATCAACAAACTTACCAGTGATCAGCAGCCCAGTGCAAAGTTGCCTGAACTTGGGTCATGAACCTATCCAAAAAACTGCTAACTGAGGGATGCCTTGAAGGAAGTTGAAATTTTAAAGAATTTTTCTCCTTCTCCAGTTCTTCCAGTTTCCGTCTAAATTTATCAGCTAGAAATTAAATTAACAAAAAGAAGTTAAACAGTGACAAAAGGGTCCTGTTTTACCTGGGGGTAAAAACACAGTCTCTCAACAAAAAGTAAAATCCACCTCTCTGATGGTTCTTCTTCTTCCTCTTTTCATAAAATATATCGGTCTGCTCTGCTTAAGGAGAAATTAACAAGACCACAATGAAAAATATCAAATAACCACGATGCCAAGCTACTTTTTTCTATGACAAGGACAAAACTGCAGGCTTCCCTGCACTTTCTTAATTTCATAGAGCTCCAAAGAATTATCTCAGTTATCATCTATGCTCTTCCTAGAGTAACAGCTGAGAATTAAATTCTAGGAAAAGTGCTACTCTTCACTGCTTCAGTTTTTCTTAAAACTTAGGTAGCAGTTACTCATTTAAATTTTGACCTCATAAAAAATTTGTACTGCTATTAGATCAAGAACTGAAGAATCACACATGATACAGCAGTATACTTCAGCAGAAAATGCACATGCAATTATAGCAATTAAACAATTATCACATTCCTGGCTCTCCTGAATTATGCTCAGTTTATCATTCAAAACAAAAAACATTTACTTGCAACTTTAAATAAAAATAACAGTAGTCCCCAAGACACTGCTTTGATTCTACCATAACCCTATACATTTCTTAGAGTAACCACTTCCCTATGAAAGTTACTTGTTTTCTGTCCCTGTGTAGAAAACAAAGGAATATCATTCTAACTACTAATTATTAATGCAGTACATGTATCTTCTATTGTGCCACTATACCCACAAAATCACCTACATGACAGAAAACAAGCCTGCCATCCAAGACAGAACACCTTTGATGATACATTAGTCAAATTAGAGAGTTTTGAGCTAATCCTCAAATGGAAAACCTTTACAGTTCAGTACTCTGCTCGTGGCCTCACTGCATAAAATTTTGTGCGATTAGCAATCCTTTTCACATTTTCAATACAATATATTACTATCAGAATAGCATCCATCTGTGTATGCTTTTTATTGCTTATTTTCTTTCTTTATCCTCTGAGGGGATTTTACATTAGAAGCTGCTTATATTTGCTGCTTTAGCAAATGATGCATTTTTACAATAATCTGTCATTAGTATTGATCTCCAGTCTGTTTCTGTGCCAACAGGGTAGAATACAGAGACCTTACTAATAAGACTAGATCTTTTCCCTGTCCCAGCAAACTGTTCCAGGATGAACTTTTGTGTTGTCATTGGCATGCAAAATGTCAGAAAGCCCTTGCTGAAATGAGCACCCTATCCCACTTGTATCCATGTGCATACTATTCCTGCAAAGTAATGGAGGTGAATCACACTTGTGATGCATTTCTCAGGGGCCACAGCTAAGTAGATTCACCCTATCCCTATCACCACACTGAAACTGAAATTTGAGCTGAGATGAGACTCCCAACCCTGTATTTTGATCAGAAAAACATATCAGCACTTGCATGCTAATATGCCACTTGGCATTTCAAACTCAGCCATCGAAAATACCAGTTACAAACAGAATAGTAAGGGCTGAAAGGGTTGGCTAGTGTCCTATGAGCACTGGATGCCAAACCACATGGAAACACTTCCTTTTACTCACACCATTCGCCACTGGGCTTCCTGGGAGTTGTGGCAACCCTTTATAGCCATTTAACAACATCGTCATTGTTCTTCAGCGTAATTATGCTTAACTGTATTTGTGTGTCCAGTTGTTCCATCGTTCTACTCCTACCCCTCCTGGCCCTAGAAACACACTATTTTGGGAAGGAAAACAGATGAGAGGATCCACAGGCCAACTCCTTCTCTCTCTCTCTCTCATTAAGTCTTGGCTGCATCCTGCTTTATATATTCCAATCTACACAGTATTCAATTAGTTTCTACTAGCAGACATTTCTAAATAATTTGCTCTGCTGGCATCTTATAAGTAATATGGCTGCTCGTATCTACTTATCTCTCTGCACTAAATGATTTTTTACCCTTTTATCTTTTCAGCATCACACTTAAGGGTTATGTCTTATGAGACTCCAGTGAGCTGAACACTGCAGCACCCAGCTTTTAGAATCCTCTTCTGGAAAGGAGATCCCTGCCATTTGACCTGGCTGATATCATCAGTGCATGGAGAGACCCAAGAGCCTCAGTACCAGCTGCAGAGCAGGGAACCATACAAATAAGGCTCATCTCAATCCAGCTTTTAGTGCTGTGGCTCAAGAGAAATCTGGATCAAGCATAAGTAATGGAAATGACCAGAAATCTAGCCAACAGGATGTGAAAGAGGGACATAAGCAGGGTTCCTCAGACTGGCAGAGATAAAGACTGAGGTAACTTCCAGTACTACTACAAAGCTGCAAGCTGCAAAGAAAGCAGTAATACAATGTTCCCTTAGAATTTGAGTCCTCAGTAACAAACTTGAGTTGCAGTAAATGATATGCCAAAAAAACATTAGATATAGTGAAGCACTAAATCTAGCTGCCAGGGTTAGACAGGAAATCTCCAGTGTTGGTTTTCAGGTCAGACAAACATTTCTCAGGAATAGTTCTGGCAGAGTTTTAAGGTTGAAGCCAGAAAACCCAAATGCATCCTCTTGTTTGAACAAGGGGAAAGTGCCAGATTCTGCACCTGGGATGGGGCAACCCTGGATGTATGGACAGACTGGGGAATGAGAGGCTGGAGAGCAGTGCCAGGGCCTGGTGGGTCCTGGTCACTGGCAAGTTGAACGTAAGTCAGCAGTGCCCTGGCAGCCAGGAGGACCAACCCTGTCCTGGGGGGCATCAGGCACAGCACAGCCAGCTGGGCAAGGGAGGGATTGTCCCGCTCTGCTCTGCACTGGGGCAGCCTCACCTCGAGTGCTGGGGGCAGTTTTGGGTACCACAATATAAGAAAGACATTGAACTGTTCAAGAGTGTCCAAAGGAGGGCAATGAAGATGGTGAAGGAGGAGCTCTGTGTGAGGAGCTGCTGAGGTCACTTGGTCTGTCCAGCCTGGAGGAGACCGAGGGGAGACCTCAGTGCAGTTACAGCTTCCTCCTGAGGGGAAGTGGAGGGGCAGGCACTGATCTCTGTTCTGGGGTGACCAGTGACAGGACCTGAAGGAACGGTCTGAAGTTGTGTCAGGGGAGGTTTAGGCTGAATATTAGGAAAACATTCTTCATCCAGAGGGTGACTGGGCACTGGAACAGGCTCCCCAGGGAAGCTGTCATTGTATCAAGTCTGACATAGTTCAAGAAGCGTTCAGACAATGCTCTCAGGCACATTGTGTGATTCTTTGGGCTGTCCTGGGCAGGTCCAGGAGTTGGACTTTGATGATCCTTATTCCAGCTCAGAATATTCTGAGTGATCTCTTCCACCATATTTTCTAGGATTTTTCAGCCAAGAAGCAGACACAGAAGGCCTTTGCTATTGCTAAGTCATCAGACTCACAGACACAACTTTCTTTTACTTTCATTTAGGTGTTTTAACAAGTTATTCCAACAGAGAACAGACCTTCACAGAATCCAAGAACTTGCTGATAGACTGAGACACCAAAAGAAACCACATGCACTCAGGTATCTCCATCACAAAGAAAGGCTTAATACTTTAACCCATTCCTCACTTCAAAATCAGTTACCTAATGCACAGCTTACATGCCAAAAGCAATCCCCCCCATTTGATGAAGTTCTTAAATGACCAAACCTTCAGGTAATCAATACATACTGTTTTACAGAAGCATTTAAAATGAGGCCTAAATTCTCTTTATCAGCCTTTTATTTTACTACATGCGGGTACCAGCTTGCTGCCTTGAAGAGTCCTACAGATACCCTAGACAAAGCTCCTACTTCAGACCAAACAGTAAAAGTTAACTCTTAAATTACCCTCCACTGCAATCCATTACTGTGCAAACCACCATTGCCAATGTACCTCAGACATCCCACTCACTTTAAAGCAAACCCACAGAAGGCCTGGAAGATGCTGACTAACTGCTGTTCTCAATTAAACAAGCAGCAGTCAGAAAACAGTAGTGTCTCCAAAGATCATGCTTTGTAGTAGCTTTGAGTAAAGGAAGCAATTTCCATAGCTTCTAACTGACCACGTGAGAACTTCTGGCTGCCTCTCTATTTTTTGCATACTATACGTCAGTTTTATTCCTCCAAAGAAAAGGTTCACTTTATCAGAACTATTTATCATCATTTAAAAAACATTTAAGAAAATCATCTCAGTAAGGACAGATCTGCATTTGCTATGTACTTCTTATGCTTACGTTTATTTATGTCTGTGCTAAAAAATGCGAAGATAATCAATCACGCTATTCTACAAATTGCTGCATATTAAGAAAGTGTTTCTTCAGCTATCAACCTGAGAATGTCATTTGATCTTGCACAACAATTCAGCAAACAACATCTTCCCTTTCGCTCTTGCATCCCCCCAAAATCTGAAGGCCCTAAAACAGGATTTGTGTAGGATTTATAACCATAACTTACACACTGAAGCTCAAAAATATTTTTCTTGCCTGCTTCTGAAAACACAATCTCCCCACCATTCATTTTCTCAAAAATTCTAGGGGCCCAAAATGACTCAAGTGTCTTGTATGCTCAGCACCAAAGACAGTCATGTATTTTCTACGAACCAAAGAAGTCCCAGGTCCAGAACCAAAGACCCTTCTGGCAGCCTGTATCCAAAATCACACACAATACCAGGACTTTAGAGAGGAGACTAAGAACCAGGATGAAAAGTGCCCCCTTTCTGTTCCTGAATCCCTAATGTCTGTCATCTAAAAGACTTCTGCTCTATCCACCAGAAACTTCTCTCTTCTCAGGCTATCTATGCTTTTGGTCTCCAAAATACATTGTAACAGAGAATACATAAATTGAACCATGAATTATTCAAACACATACCCTGTCTGGTAACCTGAGGAGTCTAATGTGGAGCTTGAATGTGTGACTGAAACACAGCTGGAGAGCAAGTAAGCAAGGTGTATAACAGCCCAGTTACCAGCATTAGCCTCCTGCAAAATAACTTGCAGGAGA